TTAAGGTGGATTGCATTTAGTCAGAACTCTCCACTATGACCTGTTTGTCTTGGGTGTCCCTGCATGACATAGCCCATAGTTTCTCTGAATTACTCTAGCCCCTTCGCCACAACAAGGCATCATTCCTTGAAGTTTTGGCTTAGGGATTTTTGAAAAATTGTGTTTTTTTTCACAATTATATTTATGAAGAAATTAGCTAATTTAAGAATGATTTTTCAAATAATGGACCGGACCAATTTCTCACCAGTATACACTGACCATGTCCAATACATGTTAATGTTTCCACGACAAAGGGGACCCATTTAGCTGTTAAAGATGAGGATGTCCTCAGGAAGAGGGGGGAAAAGGCACTGCAAGAACTGAACATTAAAGAGCTCTAACTGGATATTAAAAGAAGATGCTAGTTCCTGTTTCTTCCATATTATTTTTGTTCTTAAAAATCATTTTTCCCCATTTCATTTGTGAATAGATCCGTGAATTTTGCTATGGTCCTTTTGCTGATGACATTCGGCTCCCGTTCAAAACCTTCCTGTTCCAGAAGGATTTTAATTGAAATAATATCAACTGTGGGTCCTGATGGCAATTTTTAGAGTATATATTTTAATTGTATTTTAACTGTTTATCTTTTTACTGTATTTAAATTGTTGTAAGCCACCCACAGACCTTTGGGTAGTGTGGGCGGCATATAAGTTAAATAAATAATAAATAATAGTAATATGCATGAGCTGACAAAATGTCCAACTAGATAGGAGACAAAAGAGTGGGAAAAGGGATGTAAAGGGGTAGGAAACAATAGATAAGAGGCAAAATAATGCAGTCTTTCTTCATCTTTCTCTGAGCCATGGAATTTCCTATTTATCTATATATTACAGAATTTGTATACATCATTGGGCAGCTTACAAAGAAACTCCAACTCTATGCCTTGTAGATTCTCTCTCTCTCTCTCTCTCTCTCTCTCTCTCTGTCACACACACACACACACACACAAATACTTAAATACTTTGCTTTTTCCCCACAAATTTTACACACACACACACACACACATACATACATGCAAATATAAAGATACTGAAATACACTGAAATCCTGTTTATGCAGCTGTGCAACCGCAGGGAAAAAATTTGAAATTAAAAAACAATAACCCTGATATCCTTTCCAAGGCTCTCATACAATCCCCTTCATCAAGAGACTACAGTGGTATTTTTCAGAAATTAAAGACTTCCATCCATCCCATGCCTTCCAATGGGCTCTCCATGACAGTTTGATTGGAGCCTTAGGACTTTGGGATTGGGGGAGAGAAATTGAATTGCAACAGGATTTTGGCCATAGTTTTATGCATATAGTATGTGTGAAGCTGCCCTGTACAAAGTCAGTCTATTGGTCCAAAAAGACCAATATTGTTAGAACAGTCTGGCAGAGGATGTCCCAAGTTTCCAACAGAATTCTTTCCTATCTGTGAAATCTCTGGTATTGCCTAGTGATCTCCCATCTAAGTTCTAGCTCTACTGTGCTTAGTAGCTCAACATTTGATGAGACTGGATATGTTCAAAGTAGTATGGTGATGGTACAGTTCTCTTGGTTGGCCAAGAAGCAGAACATGGCAAGACAGTAAAAAGAAGGGTTAATCCTAAAATAATGCAGTCCACCAGTGATGAGGAGTAGGCCTACGCCATTCCAACTGCATTCTTAAATATACCTTCTGAATTCTCTTAAGTTGTATTCTCAGTGCACTGAGGGAATATTGGAATGACAATATCATCTACCAGCCTTCTCTGTCTTGCTATTGTCTCACTCCCCATGGCAAGGACCATAGAAATCATAGAAAAGTGAAGTTGGAAGGGGTGTACAAGGCCATCAAGTCCAACACCCTGCTCAATGCAGGAATACAATCAAATGCTACCAGGTGGTGCAATGTGCTTCTGTGTGAAGGTCATGTGTTTCATCTCCTGAGAAACACATGACATCTTGGCAATACAGAAGTCTTATGCTTTGACTTCACTTGATATTTATTGGACAAATACATCCATCAGGAGGCATTCCAGTGTAATAAAATGCCGGCATTAAGCAGCATTTTTAAACGAAACAAGTGGCTTTGCTGGCTGGGGGAGCATGGGAGCAATAGTCCTGACTAGAGATGGTGGTATTCATAAACAAATATGAATATCCCCTCACAAGTGGAGTTAACGAGGGTCCGCACCATGGTCCGCTCACCGATCTGCCACAGATGCGGATGGCACGATTCTGCTAATGGCTCCACAGCAAGCAATCCACTCAGCACTCCTGGCAGGAGGCAGGAGGACAAGCCTCGCTGCAAGGTCAAAGAGTGGCCCCGTGGGGCTGGACCCTCATTAATGTCACCTGTGCAGGGATATTCGTATATGAATATGAATGCCCCCATCTCTAGTCCCGACAAGTAACTTTTGCAGGCTCTGGAAAACGGGATGCTTCCCTGAATAACAATAGATGGAGGCAAATAACAAATAATATACAGTTAACTTTGGCAAGCATCATCCTCATGGTCTATTATAGATGTCTTGGTGCAGTCATGTTTTAAAGTAGCTCTTCAACAGTGTTGAAGCAGCTATGCACATTAAAATTCTCTACACTTCATTGACTCAAAACATTTTAGCATCCCTCCTTGATTACTAGTTAGCACTGATATGCTAGGAGGAAAAAAAGAACTCACCATATGTCTAAAAATATATCTAAAATATATCTTGGAGAACACATTGCCACCTGACCAAACTAGAATAAGCTGTCTTGTTCTGTAGAGTGCACAGTGCCATGGTTTCATTGGGCGCTTACTGCGTAGGGTCCTGCTTGAAGCTGTAAAACAATTACATGCTGAACAATAAATGTAATAGGCTATTTCAGCTGATGTACTTTGAGATGGAATTTTTCACATTTAAAAAAAAATCATGTTTCCTGTCACGGTACAGGAAGCATAAATTAGTACCTAGATTTCCTCTGCATTCAAAATCCAACGAACTCCTGGAAAGGATTTTATGTATTTCATTAAAAAGAAAAAGAAATAAGCAGAAAAGGATAAAACGGTTATAAAAAAGTTAAAAAAAGGTGAAAGTTAGGTAAAAGATTCCTAGTAAAATGAAACAAAGTTCTGGCAAAGTTACAAAACTAGTCTTGGACTGTTTGAAAGAAGGCACACACTTAGGAAAAATAAAAAAAGTCTTGCTAATATAGATCTCTTATGTGTCCCTAACAAATCCATCACAGTGGACCTGGTTTCTCAGGAGAAAGAAGCCAGTGCAGAGAGATAAAGTTTTCCCTCATTATAAGGATGCTATGTCTCCCCAAACTTCTCTCTCAGGCCTCCTATATACCTTACAATAGATTTGATATCACATTACCTCAATTGTTTGTCATTCCTTTTTGCTGTCTTTCAGGCTAATGAATTGTTTCCTTAATAGGGCTTTCCCCCTTAACTCACCTTTCCTCAGGTAGGGCGAGACATACTCCACACATCAAATAATACTGAAATTTCATGTCCCTTGTAAACAGGAGGGCAATGGCTTAGTCCCTTTGAAAAGGATCCTGGTCCCAGGATCCTCTTAGCCATTCCTCCTAGCCATCTTGAGGAAGGCAAAGTGCAAAAATTCCCACTTGTTCCTTCTGCTCCCCCTTTTCCATGCTAAACAATCTTGTCCATGCTTTACAATTTCATGTTGCCCATTTCTCCCCAATTTCTCCTCTCTTCCATTTTATTTTATAGTGACTCACTCATACTTAAGACCAACCATTCCAAAATACTTCAATATGTCTAAGACGGCTTTATATTAAAGCTATGGACTGCAAGCATGCACATTTACATGGAAGAACATTTAAATCTCATCTAGAGTAGACCAGTTGAATCAATGGGACTTATATAAGTGTTGATGTAACAATACCCATTCATTCAATAGATCTACCCTACTTGGTGCTAATGACTGAATTAAGCCCACTAGAGTTAGTGAGAATTATGTCCAAATAGCCATTACTCGTCCTCAATGTAATACTTGGATTGAGCAATCACTTGATAATCACTTGCAACTATTTGGATGCTTTGCAACAATTTGGGTGCTAAAAGCAGCTTCAAATGTTTCCTTCACAAAAGGAGAGTGAATATACCCAGACAAAGAATGGCACTTGCTATGCCATTAGCTCAAGATTTCACACAACAGCAGGTACCCACAGGCCAAGCGTATGTTAAAAAGTACCACTCTTCTCACTAAAAAATTATATATATCCGACCAAAACATCTTATTTGCTGCCCAAGCACTTGCTTTTAAAATATTTTGGGAGATTGTGATGGGTTTGGGAATACGGTAAGTATCCGTATCTAACTTGGGGCATATAAAGAACCCTGCTGAAGCAGAGCAGAGGTCCTGCTGGCCCAGCAGACTGTTTCTACACTGGCTGGCCTGATGCCTCTGGAAGCCAGCACAGAAGACATGAAAGTGTCTGCTCCCTCCTACTGATGCTCTCCAGAGGTTGTGCTCAGTGATATTCTGCCTGTAAATATGATATCTTTGCTGGTGGGTATGGAATTTTGAAATACATAACATTTAGAGACCAATTTGTATGAAATTCAAGAAAGAAGGATTCGCATGCATATGGTATTAGGAAACACATTTGGAAGTGAAGGCTTCCTAAATATATTGGTCCATGACCTTATATTTCAGTTACTTATGGCACAATACCTTCAACTTGCATCACTCTGAGAAATCATTTCTTCATATCATACAAACAAGTGCATAGTTTTCATGTTAGAAAAACTGCAAGGGAGCTTCCTGAACCTGTCACTCTGTAGATGTGTTAGACTAGAACCTCCATTTTCTCCAACCATGGAAATCACTAATTGGGGAACTCTGCAGCAAAGTAGAAACTATTCAGTCCAAAATATTTCTTGGGAATGTTGATTTGAAAATTAATTTTAGTGGGTCTCTGAAATCCAGTGTTTTCATTTTTAAAAAAACTTAAGCAAAACAGATGTTGAAACCTACCTTTCGGGAGTGGATTTCTTTCACATACAATGGAAGTAGAAATTCAGATATACCTTCGAGACGAATTCCTTTTTTGGTAACTCTGAGATTCCCCATTCCATCCTAGAAGCAATAATATACAATTGTGTGTATCTGTGGCTTAATTGGGAAACTAATCACTGTGATACAATGCAACCTCACATTTTGAAGGTTTATGCTAAAATGCATGACATAACTGCATGTTTGACAAGACGTCTGATAGGCATATTGCCTGCTGGCAGTATAGTTTAGAAATACATTGAACATGTATCTTTTTGATAGACACACTTCTTCATTCTGGGTAGGAATGTAAATTGTCACTTATTTCATTGTTGCAGGCAAGTATGCTGGGGGAGATTCTAAGAGCTTCTGTGCATTTTTAACATGTTGGGATTTGTGTGTGTGTGTGTGAATTCTGCAGCAAATTTTCTTTCCTCTATTTTGCAAAACACCTTGGATTTTGGGGTAATGCTACTGCTGACAAAAAAAGAGAGATGTTTTTCATTCTTGTGCAGGGACAAAAGAGCTCTTAGTGCCTGCCTTTTTTAAAAAAATGGAGCATCCCCCTTTTTTATGGGGGCTCTTCTTGACCTCCTTCTGTCAGGGTTGAGAAAGTTTGTTAGTATTCATTAAATCTTTAATTCAGGGCTACCTAGTTCATCCATTATGGTGTTGCTTTATGTTTTACCCCATATTAGAATTGGTTTATGGAGTCTTGTTGATCTGGACATGTTGGCTTTCAAGGCAATCAGCCATGTTTAAACATCAAATCCATGTAGCCAGCAGGAAGAAATGACAGAAAATGCTCTTAAAAGCTCACCTTTATTTATTGTGTATATATTTTAGCTCTCCTCCCATATCATAAAAATTCACAGCCGGATAGAATAAATGAAAAAAAAAACCAAAGAGAAAAAACGTAATGTTAGCCCCCCCCACCTCAATTTGTGATTAAATTGCCTTGCTTAACAACTAAATTTCTCAGAACAAAGACAGTGTGTGGTACATAACTGGCAGATAATGTTTTAGAAAAATATTGAAAACCAAATTAATTTCATTTTCTTAGTCCATGTCAACAATGGTTCACCTTTTATTCTCCAGTGCTCTCTATTTATGTTTTCAAGCTGTGAAGAAACACACAATGTAGACAGTTTCTCCAAAGATTGAACTGCTGACTAAAGTAATGAAATGTTTGTAAAATAATATTAAAGCAGAAGGTCAAATACCAAACAGTTTCCTTTTTCCCCATTCAGAATGTTACTGGCATTCCATTTCAATAAGCAATGTACATTCTCACAAATATTTTTCTCTTGCTTTTTTAAAAAAAGAAGGAATTTGTTCTTATATCCGTCTTAAGAATTGCCATTGTGTTTAATAGAAGTTCCTTATTGTTCTTGAAACCCTCAGGTGAGAGGTAACACAAACCTGAGTCCTCGAGAGGGAGGGACTAGATTGAATCGGGCGGCCATGTCAAGAATGTTCAGGCAAAATTCTCTTTTGTACTCAAGAATTTGCTGCCCAAGAAAAGGCCATGAAGGTACTTAATTTACATTTCATATATAAATGCCAACCAAAGTACTGATTCTCACTTCAGCACTGATGAAATGGCATCATCCTCCATCACACCTGATATTAGAAAATGGTTTAAAATGCACCAAGTAAACCACATGTCAAACACAACTGTAGTCCTCCAAATTTCACCACCACTTCCCATCCCAACCTACCCCCAGCCTCAGGGGGCGGAGGTTGCTTTGCACTGCCTAAAGGATAAAAGGAGGGACATGGTGGCGCTGCGGGTTAAACCACAGAAGCCTCTGTGCTGTAAGGTCTGTAGATCTTCAGCTGTAAGATTGAATCCACATGATGGAGTGAGTGCCCATCGCTTGTCCCAGCTTCTGCCAACCTAGCGGTTCAAAAGCATGCAAATATGAGTAGATAAATAGGGACCACCTCGGTGGGAAAGTAACAGCATTCCGTGTCTAAGTCGCACTGGCCACGTGACCATGGAAGATTGTCTTCGGACAAACACTGGCTCTATGGCTTGGAAACGGGGATGAGCACCGCCCCCTAGAGTCGAACATGACTGGACAAAAATTGTCAAGGGGAACTTTTACCTTTACCTTTAAAGGATAAAAGAGAGCTAGAAACTCTGAGGCCCAGAAATTGACTGCATTTCGTTTCATGCTGTGTTGTAAGAGGAGAATTCAGCAGTGGAGAGGAGGAGTCAAGCTGTGCTTAATTGACTATAAATGGGTGCAGACAGGAAGGTATTCAGAGATGAGTTTGAGAGTGAAGTGGTCAGATTCTAATCCTCCAGTTTTTCTGTAACACCAGTGGTTCCCTATCATGGGTCACCAGATATTCTTGGACTAACAACTCCCAGAAGCCTTCACCACTAGCTGTGCTGGCCAGGATTTCTAGGAGTTGTAGTCCACGAACATCTGGAGACCCATGATAGGGTACCACCGTGTGAGACAGTAATAGTTATGAATATTGTGGGGTTATTTCATATTAGATCACCTTGAAACTCTTCATCCACCTTAAAATCACCTCTGAGGGACATAACCCTAAGGTGTTAGCCCCTGAAGTTGCTTTCATCAACATGGAAGTCACTTGTTTGGGAAATAACAGCAAATCTTTTATTCTCTTTTTCCCAAGGATTGCCTGATTGAATCTTCATGGTTACAACATCCTGTGTGCAGTAGTTGTATTGATGAACACCTGTGGTGTAACGGAACACTAGCAAAGCTGTGGTTGAGAAGACTGAGATGTAGAGTACTGCTAGAAGGAATATTTGCCCACTGAAAGAAATATTGTGTAAGATATCATGAAAATGTTAATTGAATAGCCATTGTTCTCTGTCTTATGACTTCTCTACCCAACAACTCTCAGGTATAAGGCTTCCATTCTTATAAATTATTAGAAATTAAAGCTATTCTCCAGGAATTTATGAACTGTATTCAATTCAATGGGATTTAAGTTTATTAAATCTATAGGGATATACTGAATTCCTTATGCAAGCTATTTGCCCTTTCATGGGAAAAAAGATAAATTATGTTCCAGTGAAAGGAAGAACATGAAAAATAATGAGGTTCATGGAACTACTAATACCAAGAAATGTTTAAGCCTGTGGATTTGAAAAAGTGGGCACTAAGCATTTCTAAAGACTTGTTAAATGGTATTAATATACACAGTGGCAAATGGAAAAGGAACATGAGATATTTTAAAAGAAGTAAAATACTGTTCTGGCATGGGGCATCCAAAAGGAAGACAAGCCTTGGCAGCAACAAAGGTATGGGTGACGTCTGACAAATATTCCTATTCTCTACCCAGTAAACCTTATTGGATTTCGGTTCATCCAGTGAATAAAGGAGTAAACATGATTACGTAGAGCAAATACAAACTTAGATAAGCTGAAAACACTAGAACATAATGGGAGAGCTTTATTCGGCTCCCTATATCCAACGAGGGCTAACCAAACACCCATGGGAAGCAGAGTGGTATTAAAATCTAAAAGGGAAATTCGTAAAATGACAATGTGAAAAAGAAGTATTTGTGTCTCAGAAAGTTTAAAAAAATGAACAGGCAAATGTAAAGTATGCAATGTATTGGTAATATCCAATAAGTAATTGACATATCTGGCTGCAAAACCAATAGTTGTGTTATTATGTACAAAGCATCCACATGAGATCCCAGCGTTGTCTTAGGAAACTGTCTTAACAGCTGTACCAAATGCATTCAAGATACTGTATAGTAACATGACTATCCACAGTTTACTTATGTTTTCAGTATGCCACACTGTAATTCAGAAAAATGTTCCACACAGAAATATTCTTAGTAATATGTAGTGTGTGATGTCTGAATGCAAATCATGTCTGTCTACTAGGGAGTAGCTTTTTCAACTTTAATGAAAGACAAAAAATATGAAAGAGGCTCTTTTTGTGTGTGTGTGTTCTTTCAATGATTCCTTTCAGTGATTCCTGAAACATGATTTGTGTTAAGAAATTTCTTTTATGTTTCGCTCTTGCACATAGCCTTTCTTTCACACTTCATATGTCAAACTGCCTTTTCTCTTGGTTTCCTTCCTCCCACACTGCCCTTCACCACCACCACCACCTCTTCCTCTTTAGCATGGTTTTATGTGATGTTGCGTAACCATGGGCAAACAATGGTTTTGTTGCTATTTGGTGTCTGACAGTCCTTGATACTGCAAGGCTGGCTTTTCTTCAAAATCAATACTGCAAAATTATTTCATGTTGATGCTGGATAACATCAATTATTGCTTTCATGTTTGTGTAATTGTAGTGTCTTTGGAAATGAAATATATGAACTGCTGGAAAAATGAGTGGCTTAGATATCTGGCTATAGTGCCAGAGGTGGAGAGTTCAGTTCCCCACTGTGTCTCCTTGACAGGGTCTGATGATCCATAGGGTCTCTTACAGCTCTGCAGTTCTAAGATATTATTATTATTATTATTTTATGCCACGGTATAAAAAAAAAAGCTTAGGGCAAAGAACAGTTTCACACATGAAGGGGGGCGAATCTAATTCAAGACATATTGCAGGTTATAGGAGACAGTTCCCACTGCACTACAGTTGATGATGATGATGATGATGATGATGATGATGATCATCATCATCATCATCATCATCATCATCATCATCATCATCATCATCACCACCCTAATTGGCACAGAGTCAATGCCAGTGCTAACAACTAATGCTAACTTGAGATTTTGCTTTTCTTTTCTTAAAAAATACAATATTGGAAGCATGCTTTCATTTCTCTGGGTATTAGCTTTTTTTAAAAGTCCTCAAATCAAAGACATGAACAGCAGTAATAACATAAGTGTAGCATTAAAATGTTCCTAAAGTTTTGATTAACTAGGATTCAAAAGGAACAAAAAGCAATTTTTTAAAAATATAACAGGAACAACAGCAATGTGTATCAAGTTGATTTGGCAATCCTCTCAGGGTTTCCTAGATATAAAGTCCTCAGAAGGAGACTGCTAGTCTCTTTGGCAAAGTGAATCTTGCCCAAGACTACACAAGGCAGACACGTAACCTCATGAGCCACAACTGGCCCTT